CGGGATGAATCTCTCTGCTGGAGGGCGAAAATGAGGGAAGTTTGAGCTCGAGGGATATGAATAACTGTTGCCCAGGGGAAATGCGTGGGATAAAAAAAGTCTGGAGGAAAATGGTGTTGCGCGAGGAGTGTCTTAATAGGTCAAAAAATCAAAATCCCCTCAGCATTTGATCTCGATGAGGGATAGAGGGCACTTTTCTTTGTTCAGAGTTTACCATTCTGATTGATAAACTACGCCGTGATCTCGGGCTAGTACTGCTCAACGCAACGGAGTGGTTTTTTATACCAAGGATATCTCGAAATAGCTAAAACTTTGCAGAGGGTTGGTGATTTTTTTTTCGGGAAATGAGGTGGACATCAAGGTGGTCAGCGGAGTAACCAGCGGGAGATGCGTTACAGCACTGGTCAAAGTAACAGGAAAAATTGTCAACTACAGAGTTGGAGAAGCACGTAATCAATTGTAATAGACCTAAGAATATTCTTGCGTGCAAAGCGTTCTGTATGGGATGGAAATATCAATTATGATGTATTCTGAGAAAAAATATTTTTACAATTACATAAATTTATATTAAAAATACATAAATTTGTAAATTTATATTAAAAAATTTTGATGAACAGGAATGTTTCGATCCATTAAGTCATAGACTAATGTTTGTCCGCAGACTGTGTATCTCCGGATCATTTTTTGAATTTCGAAAGTGTTGTTAAATTGTGAGGTTTTTTTTTTTCAGGAATTGTATTGTTTGTATTGGTTCTTGTCTGTGCACTGTACTTCCAATTTCTTTCGATCTCTCTCTCTGTGAACTTCAGCTGGTTCTGTGCCAACTCGTTTCACTGCCCACGTACCACCAATCAGTACCGACGGCAACGGTGTGCATTTGCGAGCCGCCGACATAAACGTAATTTTTTTGCACAATTTTGTCCGTAGATGTTTGAAATGGGCCTTAAAAAGTAAATATCAAAACTCGGCTTAGCTCCGCCCGTTTCGGCGTGGCCAGATCGGAACTTGCCGGAGGGAAAAGGGGGGAGGGGGGGGGGGGAAGTAG